ATGGGAATCCCAGAACACTTGATTGTGCTAATGCAAAACCTATACTTGGACCAGGAGGCAGTCGTCAGAACATAGCAAGGAAACATTGCATGACATGGATCAAAATTGGGAAGGGTGGCATCAGAATTGGAGGTATACTCATCAACAATCTGTGTTATGGAGATGACACAACCTTGCTTGCTGAAACTGAGGAGGACCTGAAGCCCTTGCTGCAGGGGGTCAAGGACTGCAGCTTTCAATATGGATTGAGGCTCAATATCAAGAAAACAAAGATTTTCACCACTAGGCAGCATCATGATGGATGATGAAGAGATTGAGATTGTTGACAGCTTCAGTTTGCTTGGCTCTACAATCAACATTCTTGGTACCAGTAGCTAGGAAATTAAAAGACGAATTGTACTGGCAAAGTCTGTTGTCTGAAACCTCTCCAAGTTACTGAGAAGCAACGATGTCAGTCAGGAGACCAAGGTGCACCTGATACAGGCCATGGTCTTTGCAATTACTTGCTATAAATCAGAGAGCTGGACAATGACTAGGGATGACAGAAAGAGAGTTGATGTTTTTGAGCTTTGGTGTTGGAGAAGAGTACTGAATATACCATGGACCACTAGGAGAACAAACAAGTTCGACCTAGAGCAGGTGAAGCCAGGCTGCTCCTTAAGAGGCAAGGATTCTTGAAGCTCTGTCTGACATATTTTGGACATGTTGCAAGGCAGGACCAGTCCTTGGAGAGGGACATCATGCTTGGGAGGGTAGAGGGATAGTGCAGGAGAGGAAGACCCTCGATGAGATGGACTGATTCAGTCACTGGGGTAATGGGGATAGGCGTGTCAGAGACAGTAAGATTGGCAAGGGATAGAGCAGGGTTTAGGGCTGTTGTACATAGGGTTGCTATGAGGTGCAGGTGACTCAACGGCACATAACAACAACAACATAAACTCTTAAGACACTCCAGTCAGAATCCCACACCATGGCATTCTCAAAGATGAAACCAAAACAAGACTGAAAACTGTTAGGCTGACGGCGACTTCAAGTTTTCAGTGCTGCATAATTGTCAATGGTTGTGATCTTACAGAAGCAGATCACCAAGTCTTTTTCCCATAGTGTTGTGAAGTGGATTTGAACTCTGAATCTTCCAGTTAGTAAATGAATGCAACCATGTGCACCACTCACCCAGGGAACTCAAAGGGGTAAGAGCTACACAGAAGTCCACAACCAGGAACGACACACTATAGCATTGCAAACAAGAGCCAACTCTACACCGCGCTTGTCCAACAATACAGAAGTGGATGACAGGGCATCCAGAAAGGAAAAGCCTTTGCTGCTGTTAAAACATTAAGTTTCTGAGTTTGACCGTTAGCAGGAGCCCCCCCCTCCCCTTCCCCCCTGGGAGGAGCCGCAACTGCCACAACCCACCTCAGTCACCATCAACACAACCATAAGCAGCTGTCTGCTGACACCCCTCCACCCCCCTCCCACTCAACACTGCCGACACCAACCAGGCACCACGGGCAGGGGCACAGGGAGCTTGTCAGCGGGGACAAAAAGGTCACTGCAAGGAAGGTTTTGGGAAGTAAGGAATGAATATGGTTTCATCAACAGGAATGACATCAAGGAAGAAGTATTTGTACACCAGACTGCCATAAAGAAGAATAATCCCAGAAGTACCTTCGCAGTGTAGGAGATGGAGAGACTGTGGAGTTTGATGTTGTTGAAGGAGAAAAGGGTGTGGAGGCAGCAAATATTATAGGTCTTGGTGGTGTTCCAGTGCAAGGCAGTAAATATTCAGCACACTGTAACTATTATAGACAATATTCTTGTTGTAGGGATCCTCCATGTAATTACCAACAGAATTACCAGAATATTGAGTGGGGAGAAGAATGAGGGATAGGAGAGTGCCAGCCCTACCACCGGCAAAGCAGGCGACGGTTCCCACCTTACTACATAGGGAGACCCTATGGGCAGAGACCTTATGGGCAGAGACCCTATGGGTATCGACCACAGTATTCCAACTCTCCTGTGCAGGAAAAAGTGATGGAGGGTGCTGACAACCAGAGTGCAGGAGAACAAGGTAAAGCAGTGAGACAGAATATGCATCAGGTTTTAGACCAGGATTTCCCCGGGGCCCTCCTTGCCAAAGACAGCCTAAAGAGGACGGCCATGAAGAAGATAAGGAAAATCAAGATGAGACCCAAGGTCAGCAGCCACCTCAACGTCAGTGCCACTGCAACTTCAATTACCAACGCAGATGCCCAGAAAACCCTAAACCACAAGATGGCAAAGAGTCAAAAGCAGCCAATCCATCAGCTGAGAATTTGTCTGCTCCCGAGGCTAAGCAGGGCGGAGCTGAGTAAATGCAGGCTTACCATCTCTATCATTATCTGGTTTAGTCATCCAGAAAGAAGAAATGAATATGAAATTCCAGCAATAAGAAATGACCAAAAGATTGGAGCCGAAGACCTTAAGTGCTTGTTTTTTGCCTGTTGACCAGATAACTAAAACTATCTGCATTATCTATGCTGCATGGGGTTTTTATTATTTTTACCTAAAGATATCTCTTTTTTGGTAACGACAAAAAAGTGCTTTTTTAAAAAGCCTGGTTTTTCTCACTACACCTTTAAATATTTTTAAATTGTTTCATATCTGGTCAAGTTGAGATTTTTTAAAACTTCATTTTTAGTTTGTTATAAAAGTTGGTTTTTCAAAAAAAGTCAACAAAACTGCAAGAACCTGTTTATAAAGGTCTTACATAATAAATTTTTTTTAAAAACCCAACAAATACATTTAAGTTTCTGACTATATGGACTGACTTTGGTATACAATGTGTATGAAGGTTTCAATTAAAGAAAGAACTATGCATGAAGCTATCTATGGTGAGTGTTCTTCTCCCTTTCATAAGGGCATGTTAGAAACAAAAATATGGGGATGGGAGATGGGAAAGAAAGACTCAAGACCCCTTAATGACAACCAAGCCACTGAACCCAGTACAAATTCTAGTGGCTGTCCACTCTCCAACTGTCCACTGAGATAACATATGAGAAAGGATGTGTGACTTCACCCGCCCCAGGGCAGAGATGGACCTGAACACATTGACTGGAGAGCAGAGCCACTTCTCAGCTCAAATAACAGTGGACACAACGCTGCAATGGCCTGGAGGAGAGGCTCCAGGGCACTGGTGAGAGAGACAAGAGAGTACCATGTCTCTGTCTGGGGCCCATCTCCTCCTAAGTCCAGCAGCCCATTGGACAGTGCAGGACCTAGCCCTACCTAAATGACTGCAACCTCCACTGGGGAAGGGAACACTTCAGTCCTGAGACCAGCATCAAGGGCAGCTACATTGGCACATGCTGTGCAGACTGCTCATAAACACAAGGCCAAAATTATTTTGGCTTCTTTAGACAACTCATTAAAAAAGCAACCAACTTGGTACCTAGAAATGAAAAAGGCAGGAAGGTGCATGGAAAGGACCCAGGGCCTGCATACAGAGTTGTACAGCCCACTCCTCAGAGTCAGGGCTCTCCCCCATAGCCTTAGCTGCTCTGTTCTTGACAATGTCTAGGCTGAGGGCATGGCCCACCCGCAGCAGTGGGTGTCAGATGGTGGTGCCTGCTGTCTTCCTCCCTCACGCAGCACCTGGACTGCCCACTTGGTCCAAGGCTGCCTCTAGTCCAGAGCAAGCTTGGAGATCCTGGACCTCTTGCAAACAAATTCTGCATCCATTCTCCCTTCCACGGTGTTCCAGGAACCTGTCACATTGGATGGGGTTCCCCTGTGGGCAGAGGAGAGGTGCATCTTGCTTGTTGGTCAGCAGAGGGGCCCAGAGGTGGACAGGAGGGTGCTGCTCTGCTGTAGGCCAATTTCATCTACCGCAGAATAAGCTAGATGACAGGAGTGTCTTTACCCAAGAACTTGCTGACTGGAAGTCCCAAGTTTAGGATGTGCACTTGAGGGGCTGGAACATCAACTCTTAGCTGGTATTCTGGATTTCCCAGACTACACTTAGTAAAAGCCATGCAAGATCTGTGGGACGACTCTCTCCTTCCATCACAGGATCTCAATTTCCCAACAGTCTGAGGGATTACCAGGGAGAAAAATAACCAGAAGAACTAAATACTGAGCCCCAGGCCTGGGGATGACACTCAGCTCCAGGCCAGCCAGATGTTAGAGCCTCACATCTCCCAAATGCCGGACACCTGCATGTCCTTGCCCAAAAGGGCACCAGCACACAGCTATCACCTCTCTGCCCCAGCCTGTCTGTACAGCGCACTCTAAGAACACACAGAAATATACTCCCCCTCCCACAACTCCACCCACAGAAGTCAGCCCTGCATCCCTCAGGCCCCAAAAGGGGCACACGTAAGCCTGTCCAACTCAGCACCCTGGCTGGCACCCGGCTGGCAAGGTGGTCTGCCACGGGTCTGCTTTTGTTGCTTCTAGGTGCAGCAGCTTTCAGCCCAACTTGAGAAAGCCGGCAACACTGCCCAGTCCCTGTTGCCTTCTCCGACAGCGGAGTCCTTTGTCTACATACTTCCCTCAGCTTCTTGGAGGCAGGATGGCAAGCTAGGGTGTAGGACTGGCGGCCTCCACGGGCGACTCTCAGGTTTTGAGCATGAAGGGGAAAAATATTCCAGGCAGAAACCACACACACGGAAACCTGCTGCACCCGCGGAAAGCCAAAAGCCCACGGTGCTGCAGAGGGTGAGCCCTGACCCTCAACTGGAATAGACCAGAATTCACACTGGGCAGAGGCAAGGGGGGGGGGACGCCCGAGAGAAGGAAACCTGGGAATTCCCTGATATAGGCAGTAAGAAGAAATGGTGATGGTAAAGGTGGGAGTGACAACAGGTATGGGCTAAAGCAGTGCCAAGTCTGAGGGCCCAGGGCGCTGAGCAGGTCAGTACAAGATTAGGGAGACTGAGAAAGCAGAACAGTTGGTGAACGAGTGGGCCCAGGCGGCGGGGTGGCCGGGACCAGAGGGCAGGGCGCCAGGGGACGCTCACCTGGGCGTGCGCAGCGAAGCGGGGTCTCGACGGTCGAGCACGCCAGGCACGCAGTTAGTGAGCTCTGTCCAGTCGGCGTGTAGCCCGCAGCTCCAGCCGGTGGAGAAGCGCGAGAAGAGCCAGGTCTCGCGGCGGTTGGGCCGGTAGCAGGTGCATTTCTTCTGGCCGGGCCGGCAGTCACAGGGCACCTCAAGGCGCACGTTCTGAACAAGGTGGCGGCCGAAGGTGGTGCCACCTGTCTTCTGAATGTGCAGGAAGACAATCACGTCATCGCCCTTCATGTCGAAGCGCAGCGAGCGCTCGAGCTCGTGCACTGGGAAGTAATACTTTTTCTCGTAGTGCGGGTCAGGCGTGGGGAAAAGGTCCAGGTCGCTGGGCGGCGCACGGCCGCCGGGCGAGCCCAGGCTCAGTCCTGGGCCCGCGTACTGGTACAGGATGAGCATGAAGCACGCCGAGCCTGCCACGACAAGCACGAACTTGCTGGCGCGCTCAACCATGGTCCTGCCGCCGGCTCGCCGTCGCCGCATGTGTCACCATTGCCAGCGGGCCGAGCGGCGGGCGACGGCCGGCCGCGCAGAGGGCTCCGCGCCCGCTGCCTGCGCCCTGGGACTGGAGGACGCCGGTGCGGCTGCCTCCGCCTGTACTGCGGCCCAGCGAGGCCAGCTACTCGCAGCCTCTCGCAGTGATGCAGGCCCGAGCCCCAACTCCGCGTTGCACCATGGCTGCCGCCCGCCCCACCCCACTCTGCGCCCTGCCCAGCCAGGCCCGTACCCACGCCCGCCGGGTCCTCTCCGCGCCCACAACGCTCTGCACCGCCCTCCACGCCGCCGCAATCACGCCCGGCTCCGGCCCCGCCCCGCGCGCTGACGTCTTCACTGCAATGGGGCTAGGCTGCGGCTCCGCCCTGCGCGTGCCCTCATTCAGCGCTTGCGCCCTGCGCGTCGCTACTTTTGAGGCCTTCTTGTGTGGCGTGCTGTTTGGGGTCGTGGGCTTAGTTTAACCTGGTTTAACCCTCTCTAGGATGAATCCGTTTTCTTGGCACTCCATGGTACATTCAATACTCTTCTCCAGCACCACAGCTCAAAGGCGTCAATTCTCCTGTCCTCCCTAGTCATTGTCCAGCTCTCTGATGCATAACAAGTGATTGCAAAGACCATGGCCTGTATCAGGCACACATCTTCGTCTCCAAAGAGACACCGTTGCTCTTGAGTACTTTAGAGAGGTCCCTAACAGCAGACTTTCCCATCGCAATACGTTTTTTGATTTCCTGGCTGCTGGTGCCAAGAGTGTTGACTGTGGAGCCTAGCAAACTGAAGCAGTGAACAATCTCAATCTCTTCGCCATCCATCCTGATGCTACCGATTGGTCCAGTGGTGAAAATCTTTGTCTTCTTGACATTGGGCCTCAGTCCATACTGAAGGCTGCAGTCCTTGACCCTCATCAGTAAGTGCATGAGGTCCTCCTCAGTTTCAGCGAGCAAGGTTGTGTCACCTACATAACGCAGATTGTTGATAGATCTTCCACCAATCCTAACGCCATGTGTCTCCTCATAGAGCCCACAGAAATAATTGTTAGATATGTAACTTTAGGGTCTCTGAAATAATTGTTTACTGTGTTGCAAGAAGTCTAATTATTTTGATAGTAATGGAATGCTTTTATTTTCTGTATATGCTAAGAAAAATAAAGCTCAGCTCTTTTGGCTCTTGCCTAAGCCCCCTGTGCCTTGCTTTCTCTTTGTTTTTCTGTGTGTTTTTCCCTCAACAGCACCATGACCTCAGGTCCCACTGGTAAATTGCAACAAACAATACTTTGAAAGTACTAATTAAAATACATTTTCTCTCTTTAAAACTATTTCCTTTCCAGGTGCATTTAATATCATGAGTGTGATGTAAAAGGCTTGACTATAATGAAGGAGCACATCCCTCATTAACACATCAATCTATTAATATGTGTCTGCTGAATGAAATGGAGATTCAATTTATTTCACTACTGTGGAAAAAAACACGTCATGCTTCAAATAGTTCAAATTTGATTTTGAAAATGTCATCTCTGTGTTTGGACAGTCTACAGCATTAACAACCATTTCAAGAAAACACCATTGATTAAAGGCTCAATAAAGGAGCACTACTCTAAACTAAAAGGTCACATGTATAAACTTATACTATATTGACATCTAGCAGTCAATTTCTCTCATGATTATTAAAAGTTAATTCTTTTAGAAAACCCACTCTTTAGAGACAAAATTACCTCATTCAAATTTTAAAGCAGAAATTCAACAATAATCAAGTCCACAGTCCTATTAGCAAAGCTAATATACATGTCTCTAAGTCATTATGCTCAAAGTTAACCTCAATTAATTTTCAGACCATGACTTGAAGTAGGTGCACCTTAGTCCTTAAACTGACATAATTGGTCTTTAACATCATGAAGAGGTCCTTGATAGCATATTTCCTCTATGCAAATTTACCCAAATGACTTCTCTGAAAAGTAATTGAGAAATAGTTGCTATTCATCTGAAAGTTGGACAATGACTAAGGATGACAGTAGAAGAATTAATGCCTTTGTGTTGTGGTGTTGGAGAACAGTAATATCTCAGGGACCACAATAAGAACAAGCAAATATGTCTTGGAGAAAGTGCAACCGGGGTGCACCATAGAGGCAAGAATGGAGGAACTTTGTCTCACATATTGTTATGAGGGACCAATCCTTGGAGAAGAGTCTCATGCTCGATAAGGTGGAGGGTCAGTAAAAGAGAGGAAGACCTTAAATGAGATAGATTGACTTTAACAGTGTGATCAAGTATATCAGAGGATGAGAATGGTACGGAATACACAGGTTCATAGTCAACTTGATGGCACCCAACAACAACAGGTTTCCATTCCTCCCAACTGTCTGAAGATGCATTGTGCCACCAGCCTAAGATTTTTGTTTCTTCCTTTATTGTTTTCAGATAGGAACATTTTTCAAGTGCATGTGATTCCTAGAAGGGGAATTTCTCAGAGACAGTGGGATAGTCTCAGATATGGCATGGCACAGCATGGTTCTTGGGTCTCTTTCAGTTGAGAATAGCTCCTTTGTAATTTTGTTTTAACAGGTTTTTAAAAATTAATTTTAATGAAAGTTTATGGAGACTTAGCTCCTTTGTAATTTTGTCACTTTTGAGGATCAGGCCAGCTGTATTGTAAAATGTCCCTATGTTAATTTGTCTGGGAATTCCCTTGTGTTCAGGTTTTGTGTTTTGACTGGTTTGTTACAAAAGAGGCCCTGTGTGGCATAGTGTTATGTGACTCATATCATAGTTCTTCTCAATACTGTAGATACTTTCATGGCCTGTAGGAAGTTGTACTGCTGAATCAAAGGTGACACCTCTGGCAGTTCAAATCCACCAGCCACTTGAGGGAGAAAATGAGCGCTCTTCTCTCATGTTATTCATAACCTTCAGCAACCTGCTAGAGTAAGCTGCTAATCAGTTCTGACTGAATGGCAATGAACGTTTTACCTAGTTATTATTAAGTACCTTTTTAAAAATCCTTACTAATTTTCAGGCAGAAAACGACAGCATTTACAGTGGTGAATACCTGCAGAAAACCACCTTAATCAAGTGATCAAAGTTAAGTCACTCGTTTACCTATACCTATTGCAAGCAGGTGCCTCCGGAAACTCTATGTACGTACAGTGCTCAGGCTGTTTGTTCATGGGGTCACTATGAGTCGTCTACGACTCGACGGCATCAAACAACGCTAACAATTGACGACCAAGAGAGACCTACGTTGGCCTAGTGGAAAGGAAGCTATGCTACCAAGTCGAAGGTGGGTGATTTTCATCTGTGGCCCTCGGCCAGGTTTAAATTGTCTTCCTGTCAAACATTCTTCTAGGTGGTATAGCACTGGTCTGTGCATTGCTGTACAGAGGTAATTCGTGGTTGCTGTGATGCTGAAGACTGTGACAGTGATGTGCCAATCGTGGTAATGGGCACCCATGGCGGACAGTGTTGGCTGGAGCTTCCCGACTAAATCAAGCCTGGAAGCAGGAGCGGCATCCACTTCCGAAATGGCTTGCCTCCGGAATCTCTTACGAACTAACAGTGCTCAGGCTGTTTGTTCATAGCGTCGCTATGAGTCTACGACTCCATGGCATCAAACAACAACAACAATTGCAAGCAGGAGTGGCATCCACTTCCTAAACATTATGCCTCTGGAAACTATGAACTTTGAGAAATGACAGTAGTTATAGAAAGGTTTCAGGTCTTTTGTTCAGAGGGTCACTATGAGTTGTGCTTTACTCGACAGTAATCGACAACAACAAGAAGCCACTTCTTGAATAGTCTGACACCTTCAGCAAAGAAAAGAAGAGAAAAACCTGAAACAAGAGGTCCTTCTGGAAAGTTTTCCAGTAACAATTAAAAGCTGGACCGTTAAGAATGTGGGGTTTTGGCTTAAAAAGTTCGAGTCTTGGGAAGCTCTGGTGGCCTAGTGGCAAGGAGTTGCAACTACAATCCCAGAGGCACATGGTTCGAATCCACCAGATGCTCTGCCAAGGAAGGAGGGACAATCTCCTCCTGTACCAGTCAGATCTGATTTGACAGTACACTCACACAAAAATAATAAAATAAAATAAAATAAATTTTTTAAAAAGTCCGAGTCTTGGTGTGGCAATCAGTACATGGCTGTTCCATCACAGCTCCTCACCTCTGGACTGTCAGGAAAGTCTTAACTAGGGAATGTGATTTGTTTACGTCTCAGGTGTATGCTTGCAGTCACTCAGTTAATTTTGGACTTGTTACAGTTTATCTTCAGTCTGTTCCAGCTCATCTTTCATTTGTAGGAAAAACAAGCTGATCGCTGTGTCTGCCATTGTTGATTTCAGTTGGGTAACACTCAGCTGCTGAACATGCTGAACTAGGCACTGGATTTGAGTAGTACACTCTTGCATCTCTTGATCCTTGGTTGCTAGTCTCATTACGAAGATGTTTCCCCCATGTGCAGACACTTGCTGTTTTTGCTTTAGTTTTTCTTCAGACTCCCTTAAGCCAATTACATCATTAGATCTGTGTACTTGCACTCCAAAGCTTGCACATATGCTTCATAATTCTTCTATGTTAGATATAATATTTTTTAACTTAGTATATTTTTCATTTCAATGAACATCTACAGAGATTTTGGAATTCCATTCATTCATTGTTGCACCCTTCTCCCCACACCCCCCTAGCACCCACCCCACGTTTGCTCCTCTCCTTGAAAAGCAAAAGAAAAACACCCTCATTGGTACACAATCCCTCCGCACCTCCCCAAACCCCACCCCCCACCCCAAATATAATCCACTCTGCAACCC